GCTCTTGTTTGGCTCTTTCACTCAAAGCTGGTGCTCTGCGGGGTGTCAGTGGCTCATGCCTGTAATCTTAGCTACTCAAGAGGCTGAGATCTGAGGATGATGGTTCAAAGCCAGCCTGGGCACGAAAATCTGTGGAAGTGGCACTGTGGCTCAAGTGGTAGAGCACTCTCCTTGAGCTAAAGAGCTGAGGAATAGCACCCAAGCCCAGAGTTCAAGCCCCATGACCGACATTAAAAAAAAAAAAAGCTGGTGCTCTATCACTTGAGCCATAACTCTACTTCTGGCTTTTTTCTGGATAACTGGATTTGTCTCCCCAGGCTAGCTTCACATTTTTATTCTCAGATGTCAGCCTCCTGAATGCTTAGAGTTACAGGTTTTTGTTGTTGTTGTTGTTGTTGGTCATGGGGCTTGAACTCTGGGCCTGGGTGCTGTCCCTCAGCTCTTCAGCTCAAGGTGAGCACTCTACCACTCTACCATTCTATCACTTCCAGCTTTCTGGTGGTTTATTGGAGATAAAGAGTCTCATAAACTTTCCTGCCTGGGCTGGCTTTGAACCATGATCCTCAGATCTCAGCCTCCTAAGTAGCTAGGATTACAGGTGTGAGCCACTGGCACCTGGCCTAGAGTTACAGCTGTGAGCCATAGATGCCTGGCTCATCTACACATATCTAATGTGCATATATAGACATTTAGTGTATACTTTGTTTTATAGCTGATTTGGTCACTTAACAATCAGTGTAGAAGATGGTATATCAATACATGTAATAGTACCTCACTCTTTTTGGTGATAATATTCCATTATATAGAATATCATCTCTCATTTAACTAATCTGCTATCAACAGATATTTATATTGCCTCTAATCTCTTGCTGTTAAAAAAAGAATGTTGCAACCCTGTTGCAACCCCTTTGCATATACACACAACTATAAATTCTTAGATTTGGAATTGCTAGGTCAAATGCTACACTTTTAATTTTGTTGTATTTTATGTTACCTTCTTCAGAAATTATAATGAAGTATCTGACTTCCTACTCCAAGTGCTCAAAACTTTACAGATACAATGTATTCAAACTTGTGTGTTTCTGTGACTGTTTCCCAATCCAGGGGCTTGAATCAACCCTGAGTTTCTTTTGCTCAATGCTAAGTGCTCTACCACTTGAGCCACAGCTCTCTTCCAGTTTTGGGGTTTTCTTTTTTTGATAGTTTATTGGTAATAAGAGTCTCTTGAACTTTCCTACCCAGGCTTCCAAATAGGATGCTCAGGTCTCAGCCTCCTGAGTAGCTAGGATTACAGGTGTGAGCCAGCAGCTTGTATTCAACTTTTTGATCACTGTTAATCTTTAGTAAGTAAAATAAAATATATTCTTGCAGATTTTGTTTGTAGCTTTCTTGTTTAAGATTTTCTTTTCATGTATTTAAAAGCCAGTGTTCTTCTGTGAGCTGTCTGTGCCCTTTGCTCAGTTAAACAATTACATTGGCTCTAGATGTGTAGCTCAGCATACATGTGTGTTGCCTAGCATATTTGAGGCCCTGGGTTTAATCCTCAGCAGTGAAAAAAAATGTATGATCTGTCTTTTCTTTTTTTTTCTTCTGTCAGTCGTGGGGCTTGAACTCTGGACTTGGGTGCTATTCCTCAGCTCTTCAGCTCAAGGAGAGTGCTCTACCGCTTGAGCCACAGTGCCACTTCCAGTTTTCTAGTGGTTTATTGGAGATAAGAGTCTCACGGACTTTTCTGCCCAGGCTGGCTTTGAACCGTCATCCTCAGATCTCAGCCTCCTGAGTAGCTAGAATTACAGGAGTGAGCCACAGGCGCCTGGCTTCTGTCTTTTCTTATCAATTTGGATTTGCAAATAAACAAATCTCTTTATCGGCATTTGTCTATGCCATAACAAGGCCCTACACTGTCATCTCCTTGACAATCTAGTCATCTCCTTGACAATCTAGTCATCTCCTTGACACAGGGACTAGAATGCAAATGGGCAGTTTGTTTTGTTTTGTTGTAGAGTTTCACTGTGTACCCCAGACTGGCCTTAGACTCTTGATTTTTTTTTTTTTACTGCAATCTAGAATTACAAAACTGTTATTTTTCCTTTTTTTTTGCCAATCCTCCTGGTGCTTGAACTCTGGACCTGAACACTATCCCTGAGCTCTTCTGTTCAAGGCTAGCACTCTACCATTTGAGCCACAGTACCATTTCCAACTTTTTCTGTGATTAATTGGAGATTAGAGTCTCACGGACTTTCCTGCCTGGGCTGGTTTCAAATTGTGATCCTCAGATCTCAGCCTCCTGAATAGTTAGGATTACAGGCATGAGCCACGGGTGCCCAGCTACTTCTGCTCTTAATATACTGCCACATATCTGATCGGTACTAGACAAATGGTTTGAGAAAAGTAAGGAAAAAAAGGCATCATCTGGGTTGTAATCATAACTATGAAGGAGCTGAAATTTGGAAGATCATGGCTTGAGTCCAGCTTGAGCATACATTAGAGATCCCTTCTCAACCAACATTTGGACACGGTAGTGTGTACCTGTAGTCTATAACAGGAAGCCTAAAATTGGCAGATTTCAGTCCAGGCACTTGCCTGGATAGGATGTAAAACCCTATTTCAGAAAAAGCAGCACAAAAAAGATCTGGAGGCAAGGCTCAGCTTTATGAATACCAGTCTAACACGTATAGGCCCTGTGTTCAAACCCCAGCACAAAAAGAGAGAGAGAGAAAGGGAGGAGAAAGAGAGAAAGGAAGAGGGAGAGAGAGGGAGAAGGAGAGAGAGGAAGTAGGGAGAGAGAGAAGGAGATAGAAAGAGACAGACAGAGAACAACAGAGAAGAGAAAGGAGAAAAGAAAACATAGAGACTTGGAAAACTTTGGTGTGATCTAACCTATTTCCTCTTATACCAAACCTAAACCCTCAGTGTTCGCATCTATCAGTACTCTTATTGTAAACAACAGACACTTAATTCTTTCAAATTAAAAAAAAGCAACAGGGGCTGGGCAGGTAGCTCAGTGGTAGAGTGCCTGCCTTGCATGCATGAGGCCCTGGGTTTGATTCCTCAGCACCACATAAGCAGAAAAAGCCGGAAGTGGCGCTGTGGCTCAAGTGTTAGAGCGCTAACCTTGAGCTGAAGAGCTGAGGGACAGTGCCCAGGCCCAGAGTTCAGACCCCACGACCGACAAAAAAGAAAAAAAGCAACAAATTCCCCTGCCCTCTTCCCCGCCCCCACGCCAAAAAAAACCCTAAAACAACCTACATGACATTAGCAACGCATGAAATTGCATATATCAATATGAGATTGAGAAAACAAGGCTCACCACACAGGCAAGCACCTAAGGAAAGGTCAGGGTAAAGACAGCTTACACAGATCATTGTCCACTCACTCTGTCTTGGCCTTCCCTCAGAAGACACTGAGGCTGACTTTCCTCCTCCAGACACTAGAGGCTGCTGCGGAGCCCATGACAACCATCTTCATACAGAATCAAATTCTCAATTACCTATACCAGCTTCCTTAGACCTTGCTCCAGATTGAAAGTCCTAGTTAGCAGTCCTGATTAGCAGTGTTTTTTTTTTGTTTGTTTTGTTTCTTTGTTTTTTGTTTCCCCTACACCCTTAAATCCAGGAATTCTGGGAGAGTTCCAAGTTTTGTGTAGATGGCCTACCTCCCATTAGGGCCCATGCAATGGAAATTCCCCAAATGTAGACAAGAGGTTCAGATTAAGGGCAGCCAGGAAATCAGGACAAATACATACTGCCTGCTCTCAAATCCCACTCAAGCTCTTCTCTTTGGTGAAGTCTCCCAGGTCACCCACTCTGAAACACTTTTCTGGATTCATATAACCATTACTCCTAGTGTAAATTGTGATGTCTGAAGGGATTGTAATAACAACACCTAGTATGTACTATGCTTCTTTGGACTTTCAAACAACCCTAGGTGTTACTTATATTTAGGTAGAAAAAAAATCCTCATAGCTTCTCCAAGTCACATAGCAGTGCCAGCTTGCAAATCCAGGTCTACCTGTTCGCATAGCCCTGGGGTTACCAATGGGTTATACTGATGGGCTACTATCAAGTTTCATCTTGATGGAGGCAGTAATTGGGCCACATTCTTTCTTCCTTCTTCTTCTTCCTCTTCAACTAACTCTGTTTATTGGTCAGATGCTATATAGCAGGAGCCAGCTCTGGAAGGTTCCTTGTCTCCTGAGGTTTGGACTTCATGAGATTCATTTTGTGGTGGAATTGCCCTACTCAAGATTGGTGGACAAAGAAAACCTCTGAATGTGTGTTTTCTGGCTTAACGTCCCCTTTAACCTAACCACTCTCAAATATGTCACAATTGTCACCAAGAGGCTCCTTATTTAAGTCATCCAGTAGATATTTCTGAACCCTGACTAGTTGACTAGTGCCCTATTCAAGTGTGTGGTGGGGGGGGAGGGCACAACTCTAGTCCTGCCTGTGAAATTTACATTCTAGTGGAGGGGGGCAAATGATAATCCAATAAATGCTAATTTGTGGCTCTGACAAGCCTGATGAAGGGAACGCCGGAGGATGATGCTATAAAAAGCAGGTCTGACCTACTCTGGGAAGCCAGGACAGCCTCTTTTGAGGAGCTGGAGCAGGGATCTGAAGAAGGGGAGGGGCTAGGCCCTGGTGGGGGCGGGGAGGGGGAGAGTCCTAGAGGTGATGGCCTCCGGTGAGTACCCACGGATCACCGAGCTTGTTTACTGAGGAGGGGCCGAGGGGCCGGCCGCCCCGATCGCTGAGCTGCTGGGGCTTCGGGGTGGATCGGAGTGCGTCACGCGCATGAGGATGGAGCGGGCTGCGGCCTCCCCTTCTTCTCCCCCTCCCCCCTCACCTGAGCATGACGAAGCGGGACTGCGAACCCCAGCCAGCAGGCTCCGCCCCCATCTCCCAGCAGCCCCTGCCGCGGCCCTCCCCGCCGCGGCCGGCCCAGCGGGCGTCTCGCCGTCTCTAGTAGTTTCTGTGCCGCTGACGCACGCTTGCGCGCACAGCTGGGCCCGGCGCGTCCTACGCAGCCGCCGCGCGAGCCGGGCTGTCGGTGCCAGACGGTTCCCCGTGGGGGGCAGGGGCGGGACTCCCGGCAGGGGAGGGGCGGCCTCGGCTCCGTCCGGCTGCTGCGATCGAGCCCTCCCGGCCTGCGCCCAGATAGTGCTGCGCACAGGCTCGCGGGGGCCGATAAGGCTGCGGGAGGAGCTTGCGCACCGGCTGCACGCCCGGCCCGAAGGTCCCGCTTCTACTTGCGGACGCCTCCCGCATCCCCCTTCCTGGGGGCCCCGGCCGCAGCGAGGGGCTGCGGTTCCTCCCACCTTCCTCCTTCTCTCCTCTAGCCCGGTGGAGGCCCGCCTGACGACTGCCAAGTTGCCATGGCATCCTATTACGAGATTCTAGACGTACCGCCAAATGCGTCCGCCGATGACATCAAGAAGGCGTAAGTGCCTCCGTCGGGCATCAGGACATCTCTCATGCTCCCGGCGCCCTCGCGCCCTGGGGGGAGGAAAGGAGACCCCTGGAGAGAAGGAGCAGGTCCTGGGAGGGGGGGATCCTTACCCTGCCTGTCCCCCCCCCCAGCTGTTTCTTAGCAAAGATGCCTGACTTGGTGTGAGGGGGAGGGCCAGGGTCACTGCCTCCTCTGTGGTGTCACAGGTGGCCCCATCCAGTGAGCCCCAGGGAGGCCTCATACATGCATTCCTAGCCCTGGCGCAAGGGGAGAGAGAAGTCCGTGGAAGATGGCTGCAGAGCATCTGGGGTGGACTGGAATCCTAGCGCTGAAAGGCGTTGGTGGGCTAGGGGAGATTTCAGATGGGAAATGTCCGCCTTGGCTGACCCTCACTCCACACTTGATGTTTGCAGGTACCGGCGAAAGGCTCTGCAGTGGCACCCAGACAAGAACCCTGATAATAAAGAAGTTGCTGAGAGAAAATTTAAGGAGGTGGCTGAGGCCTACGAAGTGCTGTCTGACAGTAAGGCCTGGGTTTAGGCAGGGTCCAGCACATCCTCTCCCCTCACTTCATGCCCCAATTCCTTCTTTCCCGAAGCCAGGCATCTGCCACCCCAGTCTCATTCATGATTTTGTTTTTGTTTTTGTTTTTTTTTCCAACCTGACATTTAAGTGATCCCTCCCACAGAGCCATTCTGTCTGCCCTTCCCGGGCCTCAAGAGCAGCAGGGAAGGGAGCAGGCCACATAACCATGTGATTAAACTTCCTAGATACCAGGCCTTGGTTATCTCTATGGGTTCTCACAGCCATACTGCCAAGCAGGTTTTTATCAACCCCATTTTACAGACAAGGAAACTGAGGCTGAGAGAGGTAACTTGCTCAAGGTTACATGGAGCTAGAATATAAATCCAGATATTTCTTTTTTTGTAGAGCCAGGGTTCAAATATATACGTACATACCCATACATATGTACGGGCACATACAGGGTTGGGAAGATGGCTCAGTGGTAGAGCGCTTGCCTTGCATGCCTGAGGCCCTGGGTTCTATTCCTCAGCACACATGAGCAAAAAAGAAAAAAGCCGGAAGTGGCGCTGTGGCTCAAGTGGTAGAGCGCTAGCCTTAAGCTGAAGAGCTGAGGGACAGTGCCCAGGCCCAGAGTTCAGGCCCCACGAACGGAGCTCCCCCCCCAAAAAAAAAGTACGGGCACATATGTATACATATGCATATATATATATATACACACACACACACACACACATATATATATATATGGATGGTTGTGTGGGCATATATATGTATATACGTGTGTATGTGTGTAGTACTGAGGTTTTAACTCTGGGCCTTACACTTGCTAAGTAAATGCTGTCTGTAGATCTAGGCAAGGAAGGGAATTACCACTGAGCTACATCTCTAGTGTCAGGTCTGTTTTTTCATTCATTCATTCATTCCAAGATATTCTGGCCTGTTGTAGTGGTATGTGCCTCTAATCCTAGTACTTGGAATTTAGGGGCAGAAGAATTTTAAGTTTGAGACCAAACAAATGTTGAAGCAACAAAAATCCAGAAAGTATTTATTAAATACTGTGGCACTAGGCACTTGTTGGGTACTAGAAAAACAGTAAGGACAAGCAGGCACTGTCCTTACCTGAGTGCATCATATTTTAGTCAAGGAAGAATGATGCTAACCACATAATACACCGACAAGATCACAGGAAAGCAGCAGAGTGATATGCTACAGAAGGTTTTTGTTTTGCTCACAGAAGGACTCTCAGCAAGGGATATTAGGTTAAGCTGTTATTAATGACAGTAGTAATTGCCTGATGTTTACTTTTTATGGAGCTGGGGATTGAACACAGTGCTCACACAGGCTACACAAGTGCTCTGCATTGAGCTATACCCCCAACCCCTAGCTGACATTTGTTGAACTGTGTGTTAGGTACTATGCTAAGCTGTTTGTGTGCATTGTCTTAGCTCTCACAACAGCCTATGTAGGTGCTGTTTAGTCTCTAGGAAGACTGTGAGGCTTATTCTGGCCTGAGAAGAAGGCTATCATCCCAGGAGGAGGGAGATGTGATCAGGTCTCTTTTTCCAGAGCACAAACGGGAGATCTATGACCGCTATGGCCGGGAAGGACTGACAGGGGCAGGTAAGTGGACTAACAGAAATGAATGGAAAGGATTTTGGGAGGTGGGGTAGGGAAGATTCTTGTATAACTGCTTTCCCTGAGGCTGCTGGCCATACCTTAAGTGAGCTCCCCTAGCCGAGAGCCAGATGTACAGCTAAGCCCCTTCCTCATCCTGTCTCTTATAGGAACTGGTCCATCTCGCGCAGAAACTAGTGGGGGTGTGCCTGGCTTCACCTTTACCTTCCGGAGCCCTGAGGAAGTATTCCGGGAATTCTTTGGGAGTACAGACCCTTTTTCAGAGCTCTTTGGTGAGTAAACTAAGGAGGGTTCCAGATGACAACCCCTCCCCCTCTTTAGGGCGGTACTCCATCAGCTGGGGAGCCTTGGATAGCTGAGAGAGAAGTGGAATTCCACAGGCTGAAGATTTTGTGTCATGGGCATGAGTCCAGCAAGAGCTAGGACAGAAACTCACACATGCCAGAACCCACATGACCTACTAGAGATACTTCACAGACTGGCCTTATTAAATGACAACAAGAACACATTGTTAGGCCTCCACAACAACAGCCACCATGGGAGCAAGCCTAAAAGCATCATGTGACAATGATGGTTGCATTGCACATAACAAAACAGACAACACTTTTGGGGATGATTAATTTGGGTCAAGTATTTTATATCTCCTAGCCTGGCATCGGTGGCTCATGCCTGTAATCCTAGCTACTCGGGAGCTGAGATCTGAGGAGCACGGTTCAAAGCCAGCCTAGGCAGGAAAGTCTGTGAGACTCTTTTATCTCCAATTAACCACAAGAAAAACAGAAGTGGCGCTGTGGATCAGGTAGAGAGCACTTGCCTTGAGCTGAAAAGCTGAGTGATGGCCCAGGCCCCCAGTTCAAACCCCATGACCAAAAAGCAAACAAAAAGCAAGGCTCACACATATTTTGGAAGAAATCTACCAATGGCTAATGAATCCCCTGACTTGTTTCAGATGAGCTGGGTCCCTTTTCAGAGCTGCAGAACCGGAGCACTCGACACACAGGCCCTTTCTTTGCCTTCTCTTCCTCCTTCCCTGGGCACTCAGGTAAGCACTATCCCTTTCCATTTTGTGTAAGGTCAGAGTCCCAGATCCCCTAGTGTCAGCTTGTCTTTTTTGCTAGCCTGCCTCCTTTACTGCAGAGCCCTGCCACCTGGTGGGCCTGGAAACACTTAAGGTTCCTGGCCTTTGGTAACTAGCAGGTGGCCCACAGCCTCGCCTAACAGCCTCTCCTCTGCCTCCTTTGTCCCAACCAGAATTCTCCTCCTCATCTTTCTCCTTCAGCCCTGGGGCTGGTGCTTTCCGCTCTGTTTCTACGTCCACCACTTTTGTTCAAGGACACCGCATCACAACACGCAGGTGAGTACTCCTTCTAGGGTTATTTAAGTAGAGAGGTCTGGGATGAGAGGTGGAGAGATGAGCTCTTTGCAAAAAAAAAAAAAAAAAAAAGTATGTCCTTCCCATTGTTAGTGGCCAGAACCTGGACTATCTCCATTACTAACTGTTTGCTATTTCTTGCAGAATCATGGAGAACGGGCAGGAGCGGGTGGAGGTGGAGGAGGATGGGCAGCTGAAGTCAGTTTCAATCAATGGTGAGGAGGAGTTCCAGCACCCAGGCATTGCAGGAAGCCCCATCCCCAAACAGCTTCTCTTTAAATCATTTGGGCTGGGCCCTAGGGAATTACAACCGCAAGCCAGACTCTGCTATCTGTGGAGTGAGGGCGTGAACAGAGGGCTCTCAGAGGGCCCAGCTAAGCAACGTCATCATCTGTGGAATACCTTCCATGTGCAAAGCACTTGACTGTTTTTCAAGCACATGCACATAGATTGCATCTTTATTCTTCCTGGGGAATAAGCGGGCTAGATGGTATTTGCCCAGTTTTTATTTGTGAAGGCAGCTGCAGTATGGTTAAGTTACCTCCCACTCCTCTCTACCAAGTAATTTGTAAGGTAAGCCTGGATTCAAGCTTAGGATGCAGGATCTTGGAGCAGAATTATTCCTACCACACTGTAGTGCCCAGGATTGTCACCTTGACTACTCTTACCTCACTTCCCTGTTGAGGCTGAGAGCACTGAGCTGAGTTCATGCTGGTCTTATTTAATCATTGGACTGATTTGTGCATGTAGGTGCTATCATCATTTCTTTGAGGACCTTGGTCAAGGAGAGCCAGATGTTACCTGTTGGAGCTGAGTACCTCCTTACTCCCTGATTCTTAACGCATACATGCCAGTTACAAAGACAGACTTTTAAGAGGTCAGGGTCACTTTGATCCTGTGAGGGGGCCTGGCAGGTTGTCTTGTCTTGTATCTGGGGCCTCAACAGTAGCTGTGCCTTTTGCAGGTGTCCCGGATGACCTGGCACTGGGCTTGGAGCTGAGCCGTCGTGAGCAGCAATCGATCACTTCCAGGTCGGGACGCCCGCAGGTCCAGCAAACCACAGTCGCACGTCCCTATGATGGTGACCTTTCTGAGGATGAAGACTTGCAGCTTGCCATGGCCTACAGCTTGTCTGAGATGGAAGCATCTGGGCAGAAGCCAGCAGGTGGGCGGGGGGCACAGCAACAATGCCAGGGGCGGCCCAGGGCCCAGCACCAAGATCCCAGCTCAGGGGGTACCCATGAGGGTGCAAGGGGTGCAGCAGTCAAACCTACCTCATCCCCAGAGGAGAAGGCCTCTCGCTGTCTTATTCTCTGAACACTGGCCCCGCCCAACCTGACTCAAATTCTGGCCCTGGGTCCAGCTTCCTGTCAGGAAAGCAAAGTGGAGAGTGGTCTGAATTGCAGGATCCTGACTTTGTCTTTCCAAGTTTCCCTTCTAGACCCACTACCCTCTAGTGTGTGGACCTGGGATTTGCTGCGTTCAGCCCAGGGCTTATGGGTAAAACCCAGGGTGGATGGCACCAGGGCAGTGGAAGGGCCTGAGGAGTGTGGATGTATTTATTGGACGGGATGTTTCTGAGGGACACTAGTGGTTTGGATTGGGCCTTTTGTGCCCAAAGTCCTCTGCCACCTGTGTTGCTGATGGGGTCAAGGAAGGAGGACTTGGCCTAGGGTACTCTGAGCCGAAGTTGACAGCTACCCTGAGCAGTAGTGCTGGCCGACTCCTTGCAAGTCTGCTCTCCTTGTCCAGCTGTAGACCTGTACACCCCTGGGTCTGTACAGTGTTGTGCTCTGGTCATCTCTTTGCTTCTCTGGTGCTCCTCTCTTTCCTCCTACTCTGCTCTGTGCAACTCCCTGCGGACCGCATTGCTTGCTTGCTTTCTTTGCTTGCTACCTAGCTTAGGACTCCCTTCCCTAAGAAGCCTCAATGTGCCTAACAAGATGCCAGGGCCAGTGGGCCCATGAGGTCTTTCAGGCAGGTTAGCTGGCTAGGCAGGAGCCTCTCAGCCAATAAGAACTGGGACTGGAGTCCATTCCTCTTTTCTCTTGCTGCCTCAGCCTACTTTGGCCATGGGACCAGGCAGAGGTGAAGCTGGCTAACCCTGAACAGGTGTAGTAGGGCCAGGGTGTCCCAGGGAAACTCTTAAGTGGGGACTATATCCCATACTACTTTCCCCACCATCCACCAGGGTTCAGGGAAAGACCACAGGACCAGTCCAGGTGTGCATGCTTGGCTCCATCTTTCATGGCTTGCCCCTGACCCTCTCTCCTGTCACCCATCCCTGCTCTCTCCCCAGATGTGTTCTGAGCTGGATGTCCCGGATCCAGAGTTGCTGCACAGTTCCAACAGGACAGCGCCCTCCCCCATGTGCTGGGAGGGAACACTCCATTCCTCTCCTTCACCCATGCAGGGCATACAGCTGGGGCCTGGGTGGTGGGTGGGGCCAGTTGGGAGGCATCAGTAGTCTCAGCTTTTGAACTCCCTTCCCTAGGTGTTTGTTGCTGTCTCTTGGGGACTACATGTCCCAGAATGCAATGCATCAGGCCTCATCTCTGATAGATTGTGCCATGGGAAGTGATGTGTGATTAGGGAGCTGTGCTTTTTGGGATTTGTAGCTCCAGCCCTAGCTGACTTGTCACTCATTTTAGAGGGAGAGATCTTGTCTTTTGATTGTACTGCTAGGGGTGGTGAGAACGTGGATGAAGGGGGAATGATTGGAACCTCAGTTCCCCTGACACCTCTTGCTTGCCCCAAGGTCAGAGTGGGCAGACGAGAGGCCTGCAGCATGTGGTAGAGGTTCTTTTGTCAACAGCCTGGGATCTGAGGAACCTGCCAGGGAGGCAGTGGATGGATTAGACAGGGCTTGACCCCTGAAGGCCGATGGCTGTGGGCTGGCGGAGCTTGGAAGGGAAGGCTGCCCTGGCTGGGGTGTATGTGGCTGGGGACTGCATGCAATGGGAGCACCAGGCATGCTACTGCTGGAATGGCTTTCTTTGGTCTCTGACCCTGCTGCCCATTCTTTCTCTCCATCGTCATAGATGAGCGCCTCTCCTCCTCCCTGCCTGGGGAGCCCGAGGCCAGGGAGGGTACTGGTGGAGCCAGGTGTTGCCAGACCCTGTAACATTGAACCTCAGAGATCTATCAAATCCAGCTGGGCTGAGCTCAGACTAAGGGAAACTGGAAGTCAATAAAGCCGAGTTTTGAGAGCCGTGTTCTTGTGTTTCCTCTTTTCCAAGGTGGAAAAGGGAGGGAAGGACCCTGTGGGGAAAGTGGATGGCTTTTCAGGCCTCTCACTTCCCTTCATGCCCAAGCAGCTGGAGGTGCTAGCCTTGCCCATAGGCATCAGAGTCTCCTCTTTGACCAGGTTGCCCTCCTCATGTTCTTGACCTTCACCTCTTAGGAGCTCACAGCTCTGCAGCCAATGTTCCCCTCATGAAGGGACCCACCTTCCAGGGCTCTGCAGCACAGCTAGGACTGGACCATGTTTAGACTTGATCAAAAGCATGGGAGCCACAGGAAGCTGTTAACACATGTGAACCTTTAAACTGAACCTCAGATGGGGACGCCAGCCCCTCGCAGGTCTTCTTGCCTCACACTCAGAGGCGTAAGCTAGGCAATAGCTCATCAAGGCTCAAGGGAAAAAAAGAGCCACTTCCTCCCACTGGCATCCCAAACACAAGGCAAACACCTCAAGTCTACCTGCTGCAACACAGGTAAGTGGACCCCTACTTCTGTATTCCAGGTAGAGGATCTAGTGTTTTTCTCAAAGCAGAGCAGCAGCCTGCCCTGAAAGATGGGAGTTTAAAGCCTTCATCCTAAGAGGAAATTGCAAAGTGGTTTTTCCCGTACTTCGTTGTTTGAGATGCAGAGCACATTGGAGTCACAGCAGAGCATAGACAGTTTTAGAGGCCTGTGCTTCACTGGCTGCTCCCAGAGATGTACTGGTCCTGATTTTCTTTTGAGCCTCAACATGGTAAGTGACTATAACTCCTAACTGGTTCTGGGCCCAAGGCTCTTATTGCCTCATTCTGTGTCCACCACTAGTGTCCAAGGACTCCTCATGACACACAGGTGAGGGCTTCTGACATCTCAGAGGTGGCAGACTCTAGGAGCTAGCTAGGGGACAGAGGGAGAATGCTGCCCTTCCCCACGGGTGGAAGCCTGCTCTGGCATTTTACAGGCAGGCCTGCTGGAGACAGGGTTGGCTGCAATGCCACCCCATTTGTGGCGGAATCGCCTCCACGGGGCCTAACCTCTATCCCGCAGCACACAAAAGACTATTCTTGTAGCCGAAGGGCAGGAAGCAGCTGCCTAAGAACTGAGAGGGTCAGGCCATAACAGGCCAAAGTATCTGGGCTCCAGTCCTCACTCATCCGCTTACAAAGTTGTGTTTCCTGGACCAGTGTTGTGCTGTCATCTTTTTTGTTGTTGTTGGTGGTGGTCGTGGGGCCTGAACTCTGGGTCTGGGTGCTGTCCCTCAGCTCTTTAGCTCAAGGATAGCGCTCTACCAGTTGAGCCTCAGCACCACTTCCAAGTTTTTCTACTTAGGTGGTGCTGAGGAATCTAACTCAGGGCCTCATGCATGCAAGGCAAGCGCTCTGCCACTGAGCCACCTTCCCAGCCCGTCATCTCTTTATCATAAAGTCATCATTGTTCATGCTTTGGTGAAGATTAATATATGCAAGATTCAACTGATATATCCAAGACACCTTGAAGCTTTTTGGGCACAAAGAAGCATGATGGGGAGAAATTAAAAAAGAACTGCCACATTGTGAGGCACTGATATTCGAACCTGGGCTCCTACGGGCCAGCCCAGCTATGCTTAAGTCTGGAAGCACAGCAGACAAGAAATGCACAAGGGGCTAGTTTGCAGCTGCACAGACAACACACTAACTTTATTCACATTGATACAAAAGTAGATTTTTCTAGAAAGTTCTCTTGTGCTAGAGGGAGAGGGGTTGAGCAGCCCATTGCAGGAGAGCAGTGGGGGAGCCACCAGGGGACAAACAGGGCAGGGTGCTAGCATGGGGATCAAGGCTGCAGGTCAGCGACAGCAGGGCTGGGAAAGCAGATACACATCCTCCTCCTGGATTGGTACTTCAGGCCAGGAGGTCCTCAGAACCACGCGTAGAGTAGCGAGGAGAAGCCAGGTACTCAGGCAGGACAAGGCTCTGAGCAGACTTTCTGCTCATGTCCTCTTCGCTCCTTCTGGCAACTGCCAGCCCTCCAGGGCTCAGGCATGTGGGAGGCTGGATAGGCCCGCCCCTTCCTGCTTTCCCTCCCATGCTGCCCTGGGAAGGGCAGGGAGTACCCAAGAGGGGCCAACATGGTGGGAGAGTGGATAGGGGCTGAGGAGTGGGTGCACAGACAGGTGCTCACACAGGCAGGGAATGGAGTCCAGGTGGCCTGCTAAGGGGTCCTGGGCTCTCACTGGGGCAAGGCCTTGAGGATGGCATTCACTTCCTCTGCCACAGCTGTCAGAGCAAATTCAAACTGGTCCTGCAGAAGGCAGTGGGGGGAATGGTTGGGGCAAGTTCTGCCTCTGCTCCTGCTCCAGGGGTGCTTTATGGGGGTGGAAGTGCTGGGCAGTTAGGAGGGGGCCCTCCTAGGGTAAGGAGAGGCTGCTGGTTTCCCTGGGGGTGGTTTAGTAGGGTTGCTTGGCATAGGTAGTAGGCATAGGGCATAGGGAGACATGCTTACCTTAGAGCGGACGAGGCCAGGCCGCTGGTCACGGACATGCTCCAGTGTGGCAGCAATGTCGATTTCCTTCACTCCTGGAGATGGAGTAGGGCATGGATTATTCAGGGGTGTCCAGAGGGGCCAGGACCCAGAAAGCCTAGGGTCTGCTGGGGCGGGCAGCTTGGAGCATGGGGTGAAGCCTGGATGTGTGACAACCTGCTCCTCCATGAGCTGCTGAGGGCCTGGGCTGCAGGCACCTCAGGACGTGGTCCTTACCTTTAGCCATGCGGTTCAGGACCATATCGACGAGGATGTAGGTACCAGTCCTCCCCGCACCATCACTGCGACAGGAGTTGGGGACAAGCTTAGTGAAGCATCCAGGAGGAGGGGGTGGCAAAGAAGAGACAGAGGGTGGGGACAACACTGGCTGACCTGTTAGGGTTGTGTCCTGGGCAGGGTATGAGTGAGCCAAGCAAGGATGGCAGGAAGGCCTGGCCCCTGGGACTGAGGCCTTGAGCGGCGAGCCTGTGAGCAGCCTATATCCCTGGACACTGAGACGAGTGGAAATGAGAGCTGCAGGGGGCAGCCAGAGTGTGTGGGAATGATGGCACTTTGCAGCGTGGGCCAGCCCTTGCCTTGGCTGACTCTTTGTGGAAAGGACCAGAAAGCAAATATTTCTGACTGGGCCACATACAATCTGTCTCGCAACCACTCTTAGCTCATGAACCACTAAAAAGCAGGATGTGCTAGATTTGGCTTGTGGGCTGTCATTTGCTGAACAGATGAGCTTTGTGCACAGGAAGCAGAACCAGAAATGATGGGAATCAGGAAGGACCCAGCCAAGAGCACCTGGCCTGGGGTGTTCTGTCCCCTTCAGTCTCACCTGCAGTGGACAATGATGGGACAGGAGCGTCCACGGTAGCACTTGTTCACCTTCCTGAAACAAGAAATGGTATGAGGGCCAGTGGCCACCAGCACTGTACACCCACACCCACACTCACACACACACAGTCAGCCTCACGCTCACTTTCTTCCCCCTCCCTCCCTCTCCTTTCCTTTCCCTCCCTCCCTCCCTTCCTTCCTTCTCTCCCTCCCTTTCTCTCTCCCCTCCTTCCCTCTCCCTCCCTCTTTCCCTCCCTCCCTCTCCCTTCCTTCCTTCCTTCCTTCCTTCCTTCCTTCCTTCCTTCTTTCTTTCTTTCTCCCTCCCTCCCTCCCTCCCTCCCTTCCTTCCTTCCTCTCTTTCTTTCCCCAGGATGATTTCTGGGCCTGGGCACTGTCCCCGAGCATTTTTTGCTCAAGGCTAATGCTCTACCACTTGGGCCACAGCTCTTCCAGGTTTTTTGGTGGTTAATTGGAGGTGAGTCTCACAGACTTTCCTGCCCAGGCTGGCTTTGAGCCATGATCCTCTCCTGAGTAGCTAGGATTACAGGCATGAGCCAGTGACACCCAATACTTTCTTCCTTTGGGGCCCGCATGGTCAGGGCAGTGGGAGAAGAGCGCTGGAGAAGTGAGTCAGGATTCAAGACAGAGGATGTATAATCATTTACAATCACTGAGTTGGCATGAGCTTTCTTGCTCACTTATGAACTATGTGCTCAAGCTACACACC